CCGCGCCAGAGTGTCGGGTTTTGACAGTTGCATGGGAAGTATGGCTGTAACCCGTGAGACTGGCTGCTCATCTACTGCTGTCCAATGACTTGGGCTGGAATATAGTTCCCTTCTATCTTCAATATTCCTTGATGGTTGCACTTTTCGGGGCAGTCGACTTGGGCAAAATTGGCCCCAATGGTTTTGGGGCTTACGCCTTTTCTTGACTTTAATAATGTTCGTGTTCATATTTGCGGCCCCCCTTCTCCCGTTCCGACTGAAATGCTAAAAAAGGGGGGGAAAGGAATATGATTGATTGTGATCTATCGACTTTTTTTTCTCGGTCCGAAATTTGCTCACATTCCACAGGTGACAAGGTCAAGCAGAAAGGGGGAACAGGGAATCACTGGGAAGCCCTTTGGAAGTGGGGGCGTTTAACGAAAGGGCTTACAATTGCATACCCCTCCAAAAGTTGCGCGAGAACGACATCAACATCCATGTAGGTCATTTTAAGTGGAGGTGTCGAGTATGTATGAGGATGCATGGTGTCGATCCCCTCGGTTCCTTTGTTCTCAGGCCGAACTACGATCGCACTCTCGATTCAGTTGGTTGCAAGCCGCCGCTGGGGGTGCGTACCATTGTTCGAGGTTGGGGGGTGGCGTCGAAGCCATACCTAGCTAGATGCCGCCCTTTGCGATGTGTTCTTTTGCGCTGCAGTCGGCGTAACTTCCCGCGCTTTCCGATCGATCTTGACAATTGAAGTTTATCGCATCCCATGTCCCTGGTCTGGAGCCAACTAGCCTCCAATGTGCCGCTTCGTGAGAGCGGGCCGGTACTGCGCGAACAAAGTACTATCTATTCTGGTGCAGATGCATGCTCGAGCGCAAGACCATCCGATCGAAAGATCGAAGCCAAAAATGCACCTTTGACTTTCGGCTTTACTTTGCCACCTTGATGTTTTGGGCTCAAACCCGCTTACGAGTGGAGAGTTGTGACAGGTCCTTTTATTCAGGGCAATGCGACAGTCTGGGGGGGGGGCGACGCCACGCTTCGAATTACCGATCGAGATTCTAGACCTGCCTCAGTCCCAGCTCTGTCTGTGCTCAGGGCTGACATGGTACTTCTGTAGTTTTACCACGGAGTACATACGTATGTATACACAGATGTGCCCTAATGACGAACTGTCACAGATGAGAAACGACAGTACGTAGTACGGAGTAGGGAAATCGGTATTCCACATTTACGGTACGGGGCGAAATACCTTTGAAACTGTGTTAAGATTGTATGTATGTCTCCTTGTACTATGTACTCCGCTTTTCATTTCCATCCATCCCAGCTACGGAGTACACTTGACACACTCGGCCTCCTCGGTTAGATATTGCGTATGCTATGCTGGGATGAGATTTATGATGACACGCCAAATGTTGACCAGGTCCACTTTGATGTCGATTAGTGCGTACCAATCCATTCTTCCCCGGAGGCTACTGACAACATCCGCGCCCCAATCACACCGCTAGCCGCCAGGGGAAGTCCAGTGTGATCCATGGTCCTACTCTCTCCACATCAACCAAAAAAAAGGTTCCGAACTGGCACTGGCTCGGTACGGAGTATATCGTACTTTCGTACATTTTCACGGTCTTCATTATTGTACCGTATGGACTGTACAATCCGTACACAAGGTCCCACGATCCGTTGTTTCACCCGGTTTTCTCGATGTTTTCCCCCGACCAACAGGAACTCTCCCTTCCCTGGACCCCCCTGTCCCACTAGTGGCGAGCCCCATCGGAATGCAGGCTCCGGTGCCGCGGTGACGGGTACAAAACACCAAGCCATCCACTGTTGACTGGCTGAGCGTTGTTTTGTCCCTTGAACGATTTTCCCGCTATCGAATCGCCCGTCAGTCATGTGAGTCCTATGTATCCCATCCTTAGCCTTGCCTCGCCTTGTGGATCGCCATAATTATGGAGTCTACTCCGTACGGAGTACGGAGTGTTTGGATACGCGATCCTCGAGAATCTGGTTTTTTGGTTTCTTTGTTTGATGATCGCCCGGTTTTCTTTTGGGTTTCCCCCACACTGGTCCTTTTTTCCCCTCTGAGCTGATACCCGCCGAACGGCTGAACGGCGCCGGCACTTCCGGGCGCGACAGCAATGAGTTAGCGTTATCACACGGAGAGAAAAAAAAAAGAAATACTCATTTTCGAGCTCCGACTGCCTAAAGGGGCGCCTTGCCTCGGATAATTCCCGAATCATATTGCGAAAGAAGGTTCTGTCGCAAGAAGTTGACACGTACTTTTTTCGTAGCTGAATCGTACTTTGTAACTTTCGTCTAGTTTCCTACGTCCCGTGGTGCGGGGTGTGATTGACATGGTTCTACATATGTATGTATGTCGTTTACAAGTGTGGGATAGACTTGATGATCGGCCTTGATGACTGGTCTAGAGAAAGTTGGGAGACTTTTCCCCCCTGCAGCAGTGATTGTCGTACGATTGTTTATTCCGAGATCCAGGGGAAACTATGTACTGTATCTCTGTCCTTCACGTGGGCTATTCCATATACGTACAGGCCTTGAGAGATGTATCGACAGGCAATGATATCATGGATTGGGACCTTTGTGAGCTGGTGTCGATCTGGTTAGCGGGCTTGCCGGGGTACCTGGCACGGCATTTGGCTATGAGCTTTTCTTATGGTTCGCACTTCGGAGTGACATCTTTTCCACGACGAGGGAACCTGTTCACCAGCCTGAAACATGTATGTCCTTCTGCATCGTACTATTAAGTCTCGTAAAAGCTCTCTATAGCCAATTAGCTACTCTGCGTGCACTACCATTCATATATGTATGCTTGTGATGCCTCCATATGGTATCTTCTGAGTTGTCCGCCTGCCTTCGGAATTTGGCCATGCAGGTTGAACAATCAGATTGTACAGCTCGGCATATCCCTGCATTTGTCTTGGTATGCAAAGTTTAGCCTTGTCAGTACATACTCCGTAGATAGCAAGCGAATGCACCGAACGGGTTCGGCGGCCTGTGAGAAATTGAGCGCCCTCGGTACTCTCGGCTTCCCTAACTTGATGCGGGTGCTACCTAGACAAGGATTTGGACTGTACGTACATATGTACATAGTACAAACCCTGTAGTCTAGAGTGCAAAAGTACGTAAGGTATTTAATGAAATTTTATTGGAATAGGATTAAAGAACCCCGGCATTCCCCTTGCAGTACTTCTGTGACATTACTACGTGATCGGCTAATGATGCGCACGCCACAGATGTGACGGCTGGCCATAGATTCCTCTTGATGTGATGGTCCAGGAGAGCAACCACGATCAGGAGCCAATCGGCTTAGAGACTAGGATCATCCATGATATAGAGATGTTGCACCATTGTCATGTCACGGGAAAAATATTCCAAATACAAATTCACCGAGCACTCACCGACGTTTGTGATTCATTCGAATTTGCACTCGAGTATGCACAACATGTTGGGATGAGGACTGACAGTGGCTCCATACGCATGCCCCATGACAGTTGTTCATGACTAGTTATTAAGACGAGTGTAAGTAAAACTAGTACGACTTGCGGTGTCAGGCGCTTTATTCCGAAGGCAGAAATCTCCTGTTCAGCCTCATCCTGCGAGAGGGTCTACTCCTTGCGGACCCAATCAATCCATCGTGCATATTAGTGCCTCAGTCGGCATTTCTCTGGCCACCGCATATACATAGCCCCTTTAGCTCTGGCGAGTATGGAATACTCGTATACTCGTACTCGTACCCCCGTTCAGCTAGACTCTCCACCACACCAGATGAGTTGATGCGTAGACTTCCCTCCAATTTGGGTTAGACCAATGCCTAAGGAGTACTTCATGTATGACTCCGAGTCGCAGTCGATCCTCACCTGGGCTAATATTACAAAATCGAATGGACAAGACATAGTAAATATCAGGCAGTGGCATGATAAATAGAAGGAACGGAGCCCAAGGGGCTGTCTTTAGATACTAGTACTTCAGACAAGCCAACACCATAACTAAATCCTGGCTGACAAACTGTGATATTCTGGTCTGTTTAGCACTAAATATGTACTCATACTTCATGCAGAATAGGATTTATGTATTCATAAACTGAGTACATCCATTTATTTGCCTCTTGCTCTGTACTGCTTTGGACAAGCCCATAACAGTAGGCAATGCGGAAGGGAAAAAGCAATACATTGCCTTGCAACTTCAGTCGAGAGCTTCTTGGCGCGCTAGCAAGCTGGAAATCAGTACGGAGTACCATTGAGAACATCACAGCTGAGCGGATTGCGTATACGAAGTGGAGAGAGGGTGGATCAAGATCGCCAAGTATCAGCAAGTTCAGACTAACTCATTGGCCAACGCGAGCCTCGACAAGTCGATACAACGCCACGGCGGCATCATGCAGCCAGGACAGGGTTGATTGTTGTAGGGTTCTCAGGACAGCAAATCCCACGCTGTATTGCAAATCAATAGAGGACAGGGGTTAAGCGGGAACATACGGTTTGTTCAATTTTCACTTGTTGTTTGCACAGTTCTTTCTTAGGTGGACGCGCCATTCTTTGCCATGCCGAGTCTCAGTATGGAAAGGCCTCCCGCTTTTTCACTGCAGTCACCCGTGATCCATTGGAACCACATACAGCGGCGAGGCCCAACGGTGCAGCCTTGCAATGTCAAATCGACTCGACTCGATTGTTGTTTGTGCCACAGATTCCAAATAGGTTCATAAAATGGGATACCACAGGGTTCAACGGTCAACCTTGGCCAAGAATAGGTTCGAGCCTGAGCTGAAGAGTATCACCACGTGACCCTTATCAACAGAGAAATCCAAATCCAAATCCAAGGCACGTCGACCATGAACAACTTCTCCAAGCTCATTGCCATCTCGTTCGCTCTTTGTGAAACCCTTCGCTCGTTCCAGTCCATATTATTCATATCAAGCCACTCTCGCATCAGTCTGTGCATTCTTCAACTGTGCCAGAATGAGCCAGAGGTAGCTCCGAACACCCAGCACCATGACATACCCTCCTCGAGCTTCTCTGCGTCTCTCTCAAAGGCCCTTCCTCATCGCACAAAAAGCATGCCCTTTGGCTCCTCTTTTGAGAACTATAAAAACGCCCGTTGTTTCCCCAAGATGGCAAACGACCCAAACCAACAAGCCACCACCCGGCGACGTCACTTCCCATGATACCCCAGATCTGTCGCATTTAAATCCATCGCCCGAAGATTACTCGCGCTTCATCTTCCAAGATAAATGCCATGTCACAATGCATGCTGGTAGTGGAGGCCATGGTTGTGTCGCCTACCAGCGCGAGAAATATATCGAAGAAGGCCCGCCGAATGGAGGTGATGGTGGAAGTGGAGGAAGTCTCTACATCCAGGCCGTCGAAGGCATGACGAGCCTACATAAACTTGCCCGCAGGGGTATTATCAAAGCCAGTCGAGGCAGGAGTGGTCAAGGCAAGAGCCAAGGTGGGAAACGTGGTGAGGATATTCTCATCCAAGTTCCTGTCGGCACTGTTGTGCGCGAGGTGGAGCGTCATGACCCCGTTGCAGAAGAGCTGGCTCGGATGCGACGATCAAGGGAGGAATCAAAGGAGGAACCGACAGATGAGGACGCAATTGAGTTTACACCGGTCCGACACGATCGCTGGGTAATCCACCCTGCCGCCAATCCTGCCGATTTCCTGACCGTGAAATTTCCCCGACTCAAACCCCGCCGACAACATATCGCCGCGATGGAACCAAAAGCTCCTATTTACCTCGACCTGTCGCATCCAATGGACAAACCTCTGCTTTTGGCTGCGGGTGGTGCGGGAGGTTTGGGAAATCCACACTTTGCCACCCAGACCATGGGTCGACCAAAATTCGCATCCCGTGGCGAAGGAGGCATGATGCTAGAGCTTGACTTTGAGCTCAAGCTTCTGGCAGATGTCGGATTGGTCGGTAAACCGAATGCAGGAAAGAGTACGCTGTTGCGTTCGTTGACCAACAGCCGCACGAGGATTGGCAACTGGGAATTCACGACTCTAACACCTCATATCGGTACTGTGATTGTCGATGATCACAAAGGCCGACCGCTCGTTGAGTCGAAATCTCGACGCACTCACTTCACAATTGCAGATATTCCCGGGTTGGTGGAAGACGCTCATCTTGATCGTGGTCTTGGCCTAGGATTCCTTCGACATATTGACCGGGCAGGTATCTTAGCCTTCGTTCTTGATCTTAGTGCCGGAGACCCTGTCCAGGAACTGCAAAAGCTCTGGCTTGAACTCGGTGCGTATGAGAAACTGCGTGATAGCGGGTCCAAAGAGCCTGTTTCCCAAGATACTGAGGGGGTGATCGATTGGAATCCGTCAGGATCAGGGCTTCCGGAGCTTCACCGACCGGTAGACCAAAGTATCGAGTTACCTATCGCGGAGGAAGAATCGACTGGACAGGCACTCAACTATCAATCATCTGGCTCACTGCCCTTCCTTCCCATGCCACCCATCCACACGAAGCCTTGGTTTGTTGTTGCGACCAAGGCTGACTTGGAAGACACCCGAGAGCAATACCAGGCTCTACAAAAGTACCTGTCTGAAGTTCAGAATGGCACCGTCGAACATCCTTCTGGCCATGCGGATGGATGGAAGGAGAAGGTGACTGCTCTTCCTGTTAGCGCCATGCGTGGTGAAGGGGTGTCGCGTATTCCAAAGTTGGTGATGCAATATTTGGAGTGAAGTGGGCGAATACGGCAAATGTAAACTATCATGTACATTAAAATATCCACATTATGTATAATATACCTAGGTATATACTGGTTTTACCATATCATAACTACTAGTACTTTTACCTCGCATTATCTCCGCCTGGGCACGTTGTATGCCAGTGTGGAGTTGTGCAGATAATCTTGCCAACCTTGGAATGGATTTCGGCCGTGACGTTGTTTATATTTCTAGCGGGCTGCCATCATCTCCGTTTGCCATCTACAACTCACCCCGCGAAAGGCCTCGGGGAGCATTGTAGAAGGAACTTCAAGTTGAACCTTGCAACCTACCGCACCCACGATGACGAAATTCCATTCATAACCTTCAAGTTGGAACTCCTTTACTCCTACAGTCGCGAATCATGTCTCTCCCCGCTATTATCAGTTCAGCGGTGTCGTCCATTGCTCACCCCACCTCGGAAGATCCGATCTTCGATTGTCACCACAATATCACGGGCATATTTGAAGACCCTGATAAATCACTAGCGTTGGCAGACTCGAAGCTACGCGTGTTTCCCTTCAAAGATGTACATGTCTGTTGGCGACGGCTGTACACCGACGCGTCTGTCGCGAAAGCGTGTCTCGTCATCATCCGAGAATGCAAGCTAAGTCGACAGGTTGAGCCCGGCAAGTCGGACCTCGAGAAACTTGCCAAAGAGATCGAAAGTGTTACGACACCCCTTCAAATTGACCCGGATGCCCCATGGCTCTCGGAAGTCGTCCACGTCCTTGACAAGGCACTGATCATGACTGGCGCGCCATTGCGCGAGAAGCTCATCGAGGAATTGTTGTCGAGGCTTCAAGCAGATACAGAAGGCGAGGAAGAGTCCCACACCTCTGACCAAGGCGACAGCCAGCCCACGAAACGAAGAAAGACTTCGTCCTCCCTCTTCCCTTCGCATTCGCTCCCGATACCCCGCCTCGAACATTCCGTCCCACGCGTATCGGCGCCATCATTCGACTCGATCGAGCACCATATCCAAAATATTCGCACCCCTCTCGTCATAACAGACACATTGAACCATTGGCCAGCTCTGTCGACACGACCGTGGACCTCGCGCGAGTACTGGTGGAAGCGGACATTCGGCGGGCGCAGGCTCGTCCCCGTCGAAGTAGGCAGATCATACACGGACGACGATTGGGGTCAAAAGATCATGGAATTTCGAGAATTTGCGGATCGATTTCTATGGCAAGGCGAGTTGGGCATCTGCTCGACTGGGGACAATGACGAGGCGGAGACCGGGTACATGGCACAACATGACCTATTGGCACAGATTCCAGCTCTGAGAAATGATATCGGCGTCCCGGATTATTGTTACATTAACCCTCCAGATGCGGAACCAGGGACCCCGGTCTATGAGAGTAAGCGTCATGACCGTGAAGCTGCGCGGGCTGCTTTGAATGCCCATCCCGAGTCGGCGGATGGGAATGCGACTGCTCCTGATTACACTTCCGATGGCTCGTCAGATGCAGGGTCACTCATGGAGTTCCCGCAGGACCCGATGATCAACACCTGGATAGGACCCTCGTGGACCATTTCACCTCTGCATCATGATCCGTACCATAACATTCTCGTGCAAGTTGCCGGAGCCAAGTACGTACGATTGTACTCGCCACATACACCAGCTTCACAGATCCACCCTCGAGGTAAGGAGTGGGTTCCTTCTGATGATAAAGTCAAACATGGCACTTCTGCAGACGATTCAGGTGATTCAAAGGGCAAGTACATCGATATGTCAAATACCTCCCAGGTAGACGTCGCTGCTATCGAACTATCCCTTGCCGAGGCAGCTCAGTGGGAAGAACAGTGGCCTGGTTTTATGGATGCTGAGTATGTCGAGACAGTTTTACAGGAAGGTGAATGCCTTTACATTCCTGTTGGGTGGTGGCACTACGTGCGTGGATTACGCGCCGGAGTAAGCGTTAGCTTTTGGTGGTAGGTAGCCTTGAAATGAATACAATAAATCTATTTCAGATCATACCATATATGCTGCATACTATTACATGTCGTGCAAAGCTTGATATTCTCTAATACTACTCGTAGGTTTTGGGCTCGAAGGCTACAGCTCTGGAGAAGGTCTCTGCTCCCAGGTCCTGATGTGACCTGACTCAGGCTGTATTCCACTTCAAGTTTTAGTCGCTTCTTAATTGATGTTCTTTTCTAGAAATATCTCTCACAAATGATATTTCTATTCTACAAATCTCTCATATGATGCCCTTTCCCTTTCCTATAATGAAACATCAAGGTTGTGGTCTTTATATCACACCGAACGTTTGAAAGGGGCGCAGCAGAGAACCTTGGAAGGAAATTTCTTAAGTGATTACCCAAGCTAATATCCACGAGGCTATAACTAGAACATGGGCGCTAGAAATAGTACTGGGGGAGTGCCGGAACATCACAAAATAGTATCCTTTGAGTTGAACATAAAATCCGAATTATGCATAGCATTTAAGGTCGCTCTAAGGTGGGGGAGCATGGCGAGACCGACGCCACCTATGAACACGAGCCAAAGCAGTACTACCTTCACTGCTCAGCCTCGAATTTCATCAAGCCGACACAATATTCGACCAAGGCCTTATGATTGATTGCTATTGTCAAATATTCTCATGGGGGAGGAGACGCCTGTTTGGTTTTCTCTTCACGCACAGCCATCAATGAGTTGCCCTCCACATTCAAAAGTAGATGATTCGACAACCACTCGTTGTCTGATCCACTAACTCGTCTCGTGCCGAGACTGTGTAAGGACACAGCCCTTTTTCTATACATTGGGCGGCGATGAAGTAAAATGAGTATCGATCAGATATAAGAATGGCTTGGCTCTGTGTATTATCTGCTTAGCCCCGCGAGAGTCACCAGACGACGACATTTACAATAAAAAATTCAATAGCCCCAGATCGTAGTTTCCTGGATGGAGAACTCCGTACTCCATACTGCATAGGGACATCCTCTCACGATGGCCGACGCTAATCTCCACTTAGCGCCTGAAAGAGTTTGGCGATGCAAGGCGGGGGCGGTACTCGGGAGTTATATAGGGGCTTTGATGCTCCCACCCCTAGAATCATCGGGTTGTTTATTCAGGAGGTACGTGAGTGGTCTCTAGTAGTAGTCATGCCTTGGCATTGAAACGGCGACTTCTGGATACTTTAACGGGGGAGGATAGGAGACGATCTTATGAGACGCGTGGTTTATGCCTTGGCGAATTGCAATTGAGTGAACAGTGGAGGGGTTCTCTCTCAGTCTGAGTGGTCTAGATCTCGAGTGAGTTGTTGCCTGATACTCAGTACTACTCCGTGAACTACGAGTACGGAGTATACTCGTAGAGAGTGATTGTTGTGATCGACAAGTGAGTCCGAGTGTTAACTAGCGCCCGCATGTCGGCAGTGATCCGACAAGCAAAGCCAGCCAGGTAAAGATTCTGTACCGAGTTGTACATGATATGGTTTGACATACGAGAGTAGTAGTGCCTAATGCAATAAGCTGAACGGTGGGGGGTGGTTAGCGTTATACTCGTAACTACATACTAGTGCCGCTTTTTGTTGCCGTGCCCTAACTCAAGCCACTCGTCGTACGCGCCCGGCCCCGAATTTGGGGTCAACCCCCATCACACACAAACAGAAACGCCGTCCCTTTTTCGTAAGGCAATTTCACCAGCTTGTACATGTACACTCTAATCCGTAGTTAAGATTATATAGTACATGGAACCATAAATTTGATAATCTCCCGAGTCTGGATATGTGGAGTAGATCCGTCAGGCACGCGGCCAGATACCACGGATCAGCGATCAGCCCCGGGCCAGCCCTCTGGAGATGATGAAAATTTCTCTTGGCCTCGGGAGTTCGGCGGGCGTTAATTCCTACCTTAGCGCGAGCTTATTATACGGAATCTGAAACAGTCAGTCGACATCTGTTACCACCTACAAAGTCAATCTAGTACAGTATTCACTACTACTATGTACTATGTGCTGGCATTCAGAAGGGGCCCGTTTGTATCTCATGCCCTAACCCGTCACTAATACGAGTATGGTTCTCCGGAATAGCGCCCTCACGCACTTCACGGACAACTGGGCTAGAAGTAATAACTTCCAACAGAATTCCGACAAACCAGTGGAGCCTAAAGGGAACTAATATCGCCCCCACCACCAATGAGAGGGTTGCCCTGGAAGCCAATATCCACCGACTCCAGCAGCACACGTCAACTCCCGGCCATTAGGGCCTAGTCGAACGAGTCGCATCCTCGTCTTAGCGCCAGGCGTACGTATAGCACCGGCGCAATTATCCAGATGGCTTGCACACCAAAATTAAATTGCAAGGGCTGGCCCCATATCCTCCCTTCCCCTCCCCGATGTCCTTTATTTCGTAGATTGCTCTCTCTTCATTTCTAGATTTTCATACTTCCCAGTCGTTCCTTTATACCAGTCACTCTTTTGGTCCATTTTGTCTCCGCGAGACGACTTTTTCTCCAGCGTTTCAGGTGTGCTGGCTTAGGTATTGACCGACTCATTCATTTTACCTGCCCAAAATGCGTTTCACCTCTTCTTTTGTGCTGCTGGCGGCTCTGACCTGTGGTGCTGTCGCCCGTCATGGTCACCGTATCCGCCATGAAGGCCATATGCGTCGCCAGGCGGAGGAAGTAGACTCGACCGTCACCGTCACAGCCCATAACACGGTCACTTACTGCCCGTGCGAGGAGTCTTCCTCGTCGGTCATCCCATCGTCCTCGTCCACCTCGACTCCCATTGCTACTACGACCTCTATTGAGATTTCTACTTCTCTCGCATTGCCCACCCAGGCCGCGGTGCCTACTTCTTCTACTACCCCAGTGGTTGTGGTCCCTACCACTACTGAAGTTCCTACCACTACTGAAGTTCCTACTACTACTGAGGTTCCTACTACCACTGAAGTCCCTACTTCAACATCCACCTCCTCGTCCTCCACTAGCACCAGCGAGGCCTCTACCACCTCATCTGGCGCCAGCGCCGATTGGAGCACCGTCCCCTCCAGCGGCGAGTTCTCGACGTCTGGTTTCGGCGCGAGCACAAATTCTAGCGGCTCCGGCGTTAGCTACACCGGCAACGTGGGCAGCCCCTATGGCAGCAACATTATCTCCGTCGAGGCCAGCGAGGCCAGCAACTACAAGTACGTCGTGGAGTTCTCCGGCTCCAACACGGATGACTGGTACGTTGTGATCTGGAACAAGATTGGCAAGGATGGTAAGATGGACGGCTGGTACGGCAACGCCTGCCACGAGTTCTCCATTGCCGCCGGTGAAACCAAGTACTACGCCTTCGACACCGACTCGCAAGGTGGCTGGGCTGCTGCTAAGGGATCGTCTATCCCCACCGATAGCTACGGCGGTTACGCTGCTACCTGGGGTGAATTCGATTTCGGCTCTACTACGAACTCTGGCTGGTCCGGCTTCGATGTCTCCGCCATCCAGGCCCAGAACGCCGATCTTACCGTCCAGGGAATGAAGATCTGCAGTGTCTACAATGATTCGACTTGCTCTACTATTACCTCTGAACTGGCTTCCGTTGTCAACGCCTACACTAGCGCCTTGGCCTCGGAGGATGGCATTGGTGGAAACCTGGTTTCTGGTGCCGTCCGTCTGGCTGTCACCCTTGACTACAGCTCTTAAGCTCTTGCCGACACGTTACTTTCTCCTTGATATGCTTCTTTTCTTGATATCCCGCCTACTAGATTAGGTTTACATGCGGGGGTTGGTTTGGTGTATTTCCAGTTGGTACATACTCTTTTTTCTTCGACTACCCTTAACATCTTCATGTTTATCTTTCCATTCTATCTCATACTACTAGTACTACCAAACTGGCCTGAATACAAATTCTGCTCAGAAGCAAGATATTTCCTTTTTCCCCTTTTTTTTTTCTTTTCAACGCCATTCAGCTTGTACATGGTCTAATGATATCTTACCACTTGTATGAACGTCTTATGCGGTAGCAATGTTGAATCTTTTTAGTTTATTAACTCCACCCCTCAACGAGCTCGCACAATGTCGTCTCTCCGCCAACATTACCAGGGAAGACGACGAAAGGCACGCCGCGATGACGAGATGTCTCTTCATCACATCGCCAAAGGGGCACACCAGGAGCTGCCTGGCCAACAATAAGTGCGCGTTTAGCATTCAAGCCCTTGGTAGCGGCGTCTGATGAAGTGATTCCTCCCTATGAGTAAAGTTAGCAAAACAGAATCTAGGCCCAAGTGAATCAAAAGAGTGACAGTACCTTGGCAATGATGTACCGCGGCCGAACCTCTATCCTTTGCAAAACGCTGACCAAAGCTTCCGCAACTGCAGACCCAATCTTCAAGGAGGATATCTCGTCGTCGCCCGTGATGAGCTTTCGACTTGTCATGACCAGTGTGTCTTTGCCAGCCTTCAGGTATTCCTCTGTCTCTTTAACGTTCTGTGCGATGGTCTTCGAAGCGGTCTCAGGCGAAGCGATAAGCTCCTCCACCTTGATCTCAATAATTGCAAGCTGACCCGTCGCGCCTCGACGGTCGGTCAGAACCTTTAACTGTGCCGTTGTTTTAGGGACATAGGACCCAGCCACAATAAGTCCGCCTGTCTGTCTGGGAGAGGGAAGACCGAGTTCAATGGCGGAGATCGGAGCTTTCGATCGGATGCCGAGTCGAGTCGAGACGAATGCTGCACCTGTACGGTAGAGGAAATGCTTGCCCTGTGACTCGGCTTTTTATTTCAATCAGCATTAGACTGGTCGCACGCTTATCGGGAAATGAGAAAGAAGAGTTATACGTACCCAGAAGTAGCCCAGCAACAAAAACGTGCATATCTGACTCCGCCGCCGCATTAACAATCACTACGCCACCAGCCGGTGCAGCAAGCAACTTCTTACAGACGACTTCAGGTCCACCTTTTCGAAGCTCATCAATGGTGACAGAGTACAATTGATCGACCGAGTACCGACCAGGTGCTTTCTCAAGCACATAGTCCCGCAGATTAGAGGACTTGTATCCGAACGTCGCATCCTTTGCGAATTGCGTCGCACCCGCAGGAACGAGGTTATCACCCTCAGCAACATAATGCACATCGTCGATTGTATAACGGCCGCCCTGGAAAAAGAACGGAGCTAGGACCAATGCATCGGCAGCTCCGAATACCGACTGCGCAACGTCCGGTTCTAGTGGGAAGTGTCCGCGCAATGTACTGTCGCCTCGCAGCACGATGTCAACTTTATTGCCCGTGGCCTTTGCGGCCGACGATACATTCTCGCATATGTTTCGAATGAGGGTCTCTGCTTCTGTTGGAAGGAGGGCGCGTGAATTGGTTAAGATGAAGAAGCCTCGGGAATCGGTGCGGAATTCGGCAGTCAATGTTGCAATGTCCCAGACCGTGAGGACATTGATGTCATGGCAGGTCTGAGTGCCCGTTGGATCGTCGTCTAAAACAACAAGACGGTTTATAGAAGCTGTGTCGAGGATCTGCGAGATCCGGTTTTGTGCGTCCGTTGGGTATTCGGCAGGGAGAGACGCGAGGGTGCTTTCGCGGGGGAGAGTCGGAAATTGCGACATCTTATGGCTATTAGATCATTGACCTGGAATTGAATCCTGTGACTCGAGACGGTGGTGTTTGCTTTTATGAGTTCTTTAGAAATCGGGAAATCGGTCCTGAAACTGCGGGGTGCGGGGAGGCGGGTCGGAGAGAAATCCGAGATCGGGACGAAGCACCGAGTCAATTATCATATACGAGTAGATAGATGCCAGCATTTCGGATCACATCCGAAAACTGAGAACGTGGTGGCATGCCAGTGTAGGGTAATAAATTCGTTCAGATGGCTATTGGTAAATATAAATGACAGGAAAGCTCAAACTCCACCAAACGCCTAGCCTGCAGAGACCTCAGATGCAAGATGCAAGATGATCGCGTGGAAGTGATGAATGCTCGCAGCAGGAAATAATGCATCAATCATTCGTCATGCAGTCCTCCACCAGAATCCATTCTTCTCGCCATCCCATCCCAAGTCTCCTCCTAAATTCCCATGCCTTCAAAACGCGTAAATCAGTGTGCAAGCGGGTCGTAGACTGCGTGAATGAGTAACTCGATTAGAGTAATGGGTTTAGCCCACCACACTGCGGAAGCTCAACGCTTCCAGGAAGCCACCCAGGTCGTCCTTTTGGACTTCAACAACACAGTGGTCGAAGCTGTCGATACGGACGCGAGCGTTGGTCTCTTGGACCACCTCTTGGAAGGCAATGCCAAACCTGTTCCGCAAAAGGTGCTTCTTTGTACCTGGGTCCTCGTCCTCGGACTCTGATTCGGACTCTGATTCGGACTCGTCGGATTCTTCGTCTTCGGCTTCATCATCGTCTTCTCGTTCAGCACGCTCTGCTGCGCGCTGTGCCCGGCGAGATGATCGCTCCCGTTGCTTCTTATCCCTAGCTTCCTTCTTTTTACTGCGCTCCTCTCGGCGCTTAGACATGGCAGCATAGTCAATAACACCTCCACCGCCACCAGTTCCCACAACCACATAAAGGTCACGGTCCTCATCTAGGCCTGCAAGGACGAGAGGTGTACCCGCCGCGCGTTTCCGGCCAATCTTGATGGAATCGCCCTTCTCTCGCTCTTGGACACGGATGGCCTCGGCGATCCACAATGCGAGCTTTGTCAAGGCCCCCGGGTTGGTGAAAAGCTTGACGTCAGGGCCGTCTTTGACAACAGCTATGCGGAAAGCTCGAAGATGGCGGATTTGGTGCTTGGACAATAGTGATGTACCAGTGCGAAGAATAGCACGGTGAAGGTGTTGAGCTAATGGCAATGCCTCCATGAGCAAGGTAGGGGATTCGGATGTGAGTGAAAGAGCATCGTATGCATTCCAGAATCGAGGAAGAAGGCTGGCCAAGTCTGATTCGCCAGTGCCGCCTCCGTTCTCGACATCATCGTTGGTGCCTCGGGCCCGTGGAAGACGTTTAGCATCCCAAGATGCGGAGGTCTCATGTGGTCCAACCTCCAGCATGGCACCGATAATAACACCGACGTCTGTGGCGGATAAACAAGCCTTCCAGCCCCAGCAACGAACGAAGCCCCACCCTTCACGAGAGCTAGCATGCCCAGTAGGCTCTGCAGGAACCAGTCCGTCCAAACCGTACATAGGAGCGTACTTGAGGAGTCGCCCACGTAGTACCCGCTTCAGTTCCATATCCATGTGTGTATAAAATTGATGGCATTGGGTGAGGCTTATACCCATCTTGGCCAGGAGTTTGTGAAGACGCTTCCTGCCGTTTTCCGTCCAGACGTGAAGCCGGGGGGCCAGGTATGGGCTGTGCAGCATACTCTCGTACAGTGACCAGTGACGAACGAGTAGGAAGCGGGGCTCTGGAGAGAGTCGAATAGATGTATCGGTCGGTGACCTGGCAGTTGTGGGAATAACGCCATTGATCTCCCCTCTAATGTCTCGATCACGCTCAAGTGGATCGGGAGGGTTCAAACGATGAACTTCATCTCGGAAAATTTGGCGAAGGTGCTCTCCACGTTGCCCGCCCCAGCCAGCAGAGCCTCCTTCCTCGGACGAATTGGAAATACCAACACCAGTCATAGTTCGACCGCTTAGTTCTAGACTTGAAATTCCAACAATACCAAGCCAGAGGAGGTCATTATCCTCACGACCAAGTTCAGATGCTAGCGAGTAAACTAGCGACGAAATGGGCTCCGAGTATGAAGTTCCAGAGGAATAATAAGACTGCAATGTCGCATCGTGTTTTCGTTTCATACGAAGCAGGCGTCGTTTTAGAGATCGGGCCGATAACTGCTTCGGTTCTTCTGGCGAAGGCGAATCGCTAGTTGGGGTTCCGGAGCGTGAGGAATTTGAGGAATTTAGATCCCTCTTTCTCCGCCGACTTGGAGATGAGACAATCGAGGAGCCCTATGAGGTAAATCAGCATTTGCCTTACAATCGAGAAATACTATACGCCATACTGAATTGCTTCGTTTTCGTTGGCGTGGGGGGGCCATCCTCCTCGTCTGAATCGTCATCGTCTTCCCGACCCGACCACGACTTGCGCTTTTTAGAGCCTGTCGGCATACTCTCTTCTTCTTCTTCGTCATCATCACCATCACTCTCATCGTCGTCGTCCACCTCGGGCATCTCAAGAAGCGCATAGTATGCGTCCCGTTCGCTGCCAAGTTCCTCTTGAATATCGCCATCGTCAAACACGATGATACCGCCACTTTTGGACGTGTAGGCGGGTGTGATGCGGCCTTGGTCGACACCACGCCCGCGCCTTCGTGCGTTAACATCAATTTCCGCCATAGCCTGGCCCATACCGGCTTGACCACCAAAGACATTGGCCAGGTTCCAGGGCCGGCGCGCGTCGAATACCCAAATCTCGACACCTCCCATATCCTCCTCGATTTCTTCCTCTTCTGGTTGGCTCATGCCTAGGATTTCGGCCAGATCAACTAGCCCGCCGACACCCAGACATACTACCACACCTCCGCTCCCGCCATTGGTGGTTTGCATGGGGCGGACCAACTCCTCCCCGGCGCGCGCGAGGTCACCATATCCTGCAACGGGTTGGATCTTATGAGGGATGTAGTCGCGTTTCAAGAGAGCCGTAAGGATTCGACAAGCACAGAGGGCATCGGGTTCGAGAGCCACGAGAATCAGGACTGGTGGGGAGAGTGGGTGGTGGGATCGGAGGAGTTGTAGGTATAGGTGGGAGATGAGCTGCCGTGGAAGATACATGGCCAGCTAAGGGAGATTAGAGACACATGAGCATGAATAATAAAAATAGCAGAGGAGCCCAAGAGAGGACTAGATAGTGGCTTGCAAACGGGCAAGTCGCTGTTGCAAGTCCGATCCTTAAACTTGGACTATGACTTTTGAGTCTTGACTCTGACAGTCTGCGGAGAGCGCGCGCGACGCGTTGACGGGGCCCGGGGCACGTGCCCGAGATTCCATTCTCCGTCGCCGTCGCCGAGCCACCCGCACTACTTTTCCCCCTGCTTCATACTTCTAATTATTATTGTGATTATTTGGTCAATGTGGATCCTATTTACCTGTGGGGACACATTCTGTAAACCTCCTTGGAGAGGGAATTGTTTTATCGGACCAAGTTTTGTGATTAGAGCAGTGAACTGTGTTCAAGCTGGTATAGTATATAATGCTGCCTATTCATGGTCAGGCTATATCGTATATAGTAGCAAGCTTATTTCTCTCATTTCTCATTCAAGTTTCTTCTACTTGAATCTTAATATTGCCACTGACTGTAATCAATATAGATACTTTGATTTCAATTCATTTGACCTAAATTCTTCGACCACCATGGACTAGTGGACCTGCGCGAACAACGAGTCGATCTTCTGCACAACAATCTCTGGCAAAGGCCCCTTGGAAATATCGCTCAGATTCTGTACGATCTGTGAAATCTTACTTGCTCCTAGGATCACTCCGTCCTTTTCGTCCAAGATTGAATGGTAGTAGAGCCACCTTAGACATGCTTCTGCGCCACTAATCTCGAGCGGATCAATGGTATCCAGCAGACCGGCCACCGCCCTATGCATATCTAACGTGTCGTATTTAACGTTCAAAGCAGAGGTGGTTTGGTTACCCGGTGCATATCGTGTACCAACAGTATCACCACGAGTTGCCCGACCTGTCAAGAAACCCCCCGCAAGAGGACTAGATATCGATTAGCTCTGCTCCTCAATCGAAAGATAGAACAAGGCCCGTCTACCTGTAGGCATTGAAAGCAATTCCATGCTTTCGCAGCAATGGGAATAATGTCTTCTCGCTCTCGCGGCTCAGAAGATTATACAGACCCTGGTACACGCTTGGCTTGACATAGTTTTTGTCTTCACAGACGGCAATAAACTCCGTCACAAGCCCAGGTGGGAAATTTGAGAGACCAAACTAAGTCAAGTCATTGATTATTAGAATTTGAACTAGAACGTGAACCGATGAGATGAAATACAAATGACCGACCTTCTCAAAGCGACCCTCCAAATACTGCCTATGAATCTCGCTGGCTTGCTCTGCGATTGGAGTCTCGGGGTCCGGGCGATGGAAATAGAGAATATGAACATTGACAACGTGCAGTCGAGAAAAACTATCATTGATTGATTTCGTAATATTCGCAGCAGTTAGGGATCCGGATCCATCGGTTTTTAGAGAGCCATCAGTACTGGTCTTTGTATCTATCGTGAAGCCTTGTTCTTGAGCACGGACTTCACCTAGCAACCGCTCGGAAGAACCTGGACTGGTAGGTGAATATCTGGCTGCGGTATCAATACGGTTGATTCCAATTGATTGTAGTTGGTCTAGAAGCTCTTGAACCTGAGCCGCCGTAGTGAAGCTGGTCCCAATCAACGCTCCTCCGAAAATGGTGCTTGGCCGAGACATCCTAGGGAAATGGTAGTGCTTTCTGCTAGTATGAAAAACAGATATTCACTTTTTGATTCCAATGATATTTATGCTTAGAAATTAGCGAGGCTATAGATTAGTTATCCAGATGAAGAGATATACAATGTATTACAAAGCACAACCCCGGGTAGGACACTCCGGCTCGGCTTCCCATCTTCCGGAGAACGGCCAGGTGAGACCCGAGCTGTTGAGGAATAAACTCAGTGCCGAGTGAAGCCATATTCATGGATTTACTTAAGGGAGCTGTATAAGATTAAACAAGGCAAATAGTAGTGTTATTCGCATATATGGTGATTGAACTTGAAGGTCAAGAATAGTCTATGTAGACCTGTTCAACCCCCACCTGGGCGTAGTATAAAATCAATAACTTGAACTGAATAACTACGCCATGCGTAATGCCCAAAGCAGCAGGCTCACTAGAAACTTGAAAATCCAGGTAGGAGCAACATTTAGAAAGCAGAAGAAAGAATTGCGTATTTCTGTAAGTCATAGTAGAAAGTAATGTGAAAGTTCGCTGAGCGCCGTGCACCATCCGAATGCTATACATGATTATATCAAGCCAAGAAACAAAACTGCAATCAAAGACTGATAAGATTGACACAGATCTACCGTATCAGTTGACTGAGCGGCCCAAGATCGACCCGGCAACCCAGACTGCAGTACATGCACCGACGACAGATAGACCGACCAGTCGTTTGCCCCAGCTGTTATCCTCGGCCATCTTCGTCGGGCCAACAGTCTTCTTGGGAGCCAATCCGACAGAAGAAGAGTACTTATTTTCACTATGAGGCTGAGTGGAGTTGCCCAGGATGGCAGAGTACTCTTCACCGCGCTTGCGCCACTTCTCCGCCAATCGTGCGATTTCGGCTAGATCCTCCTTAAGAGACCCCGGCTCGGTGGCGTTGGCGTTCTCGACTTCAACGTTTTGCACATTACCGAAGAAATCCACGACGGTGCGCAAGCGGCCTTCCTGTTCACCTCCAGGGAACAAGTCCCATCGCACACCAGGCTGTGAATGGATCTTCGATTCGTCATAGGAATCAAAAAGATCTCCGAGATTCAACTTCGAATTGGCGCTCGTGACCTGTGTCTCCAGGAACTCCAGTACATAATAGGTCCAGCGGTCGATGACAGCGACTCCGACATCGTTATCGGCGTGGTGGGAATAGGAGGACTGATCCAGCTCACTAGAGCCCGTGGCCACAATATTGGGCGAGTAGAAATGCGTGTACATCGTATTGGCCTGGCACGTATCAATCATGAAAAGAAGCTCATGATAGCGCTTCTTCTCCCACATTTGCCCGAATGCATCGGCCAAATCCCACGCGCCAATCTCCTCCGCGTCTTGGAACTTCAGGAACTGGTCTCCGCCGTGACCGGTCATATACACCAATACGTTGCTACCGGCGTCGGATCCAAGACGCTTGCTGCGCGGGACATCTTCGTCGAGCCGATCGGTCAATAGTCGAATGAAGTTCTCGACTGTCACTTCATAGCCCCTGTAATCAACCTCGATATTATCGCCGTACAGGTCGACGGCGCGGTCCGCATTACTGTACACGGTTCCGGGAAAAGCGTTTCGAGGATTGCAGGCCATATCATCGGGAAGCATCAGGATGATCTGCGAGTCTGGAATGCCGAGCCGCTTGACGGTTCGGTAGAGGGAAAGGACATTGGCGAGATGGCGGTAGTTGAACCAGAATCTGGAAGTGGAGACCAGTACAGCCCAGTTGGAAGTATGCTCTGCAGTGATAAAACTGACGAGAGGCAGGAGACAGAGCGCCTGCAATAAGCGGAAGAACGAAATCATGGTGGCGGTTTGAGGGTTAGAACATAGTCAGGAAAGGAGGGACGTGACTTCGGCCGCGTAGCTGGCGGAGCGCACTTCTAGCCGCGGAAGGAAGAGATCAGAAGTGCGAAAATCAGATGGTATAGTCCAGATATCAGCTCCGTTAATGTCAGTTATATCGAAGTCATCATCGAATCTGAGTCCGGACGGAAGATAGATGACAGGTGAAGCAATTGCGGACCGGGATTACAAACCCGCAATTGGAGATAGACACCTTAGTAATCAGGCATAAACAATGTATGCCGTCAAGTCAACCTTGGAACTTGAGGGATGATAATAGGCCAAGAATTGAAAAGTCTCCTCGGAGCTTCAAGGAGTACTAGTGTCCTGATTGATACAACGATTTATTTTAAAATACTATCAACTATTAGCAATAGATCAGCCCTGATATGGCCCTGGAACCTCGTCATAGCTTAGTCATAGGGGGTACCGCCTACGTCGGAGCCGGCATAATCCTCTGGCGGATCAGATCATCTATCAGTGCAATCCACTTTTCTTCTTCTTTCTCCTGGATTCAAATCTGTGCAGCGTTCCATTTTAAAATCAAATCGAAAACCTTTCGTCATCATGGGAGGCAAGAAAGCTGCTGGTGAGAACTCCAAGAAGGTTGCTGGTAATGCCCGCGTATGTTGACCCCGCCCCCGCCATCATCACGCATGCAACAGATTGAACTGACGGCCACATAGAAAGCTGAGGCTGCCGCTGGAAAGAAGGCTCAAGCGGACGCCAAGGCTGCCGTGGAAGAAGATAAGCAATGGTCCAAGGGATCCAAGACCAACGCTAAGAAGTAAGTAAAGTCTGGACCCCTGTTGGTAGCGCATGAATTCTGATCAATGATTTTCTCTCACTTGCAGGGACGATGCCGAAGCCAAGAAGGCCGATGCTGCCCGCAAGAAGGCCGAACGTGATGCCATGCTCGCCGAAGAAGAAGCCTCCCAACCATCCAAAGCTAAGGGTTCCGGCGCAAAGACTGCGCAAAAGAAGTCTCGTGGCCTCGACCTTGGTCAACTCGATGACACCCCAAGTGGCAAGCCGGGCTCTCTCAATGCCTCCGGTATTGACAATGCCTTAGATGCTCTTTCGTTGACAAGCAAGGATACTTCGAAGGTCGAGAAGCACCCGGAGCGACGATTCAAGGCCGCCTATGCCGCTTTCGAGGCCCGCCGTCTACCCGAGATCGAGGAGGAGAACCCTGGCCTGCGCCGACAACAGCGTATTGATATGTGCCGGAAGGAATTCGACAAGAGCGAGGAGAACCCCTTCAACCAGGTGCACGTCAAGGTCAATGCGACCAAGGAAGAAATTGCCCAGATGCGGGACCAGGAGCGGTCGAAGACTGAGGCCAGACTTGGACGATAAATGTCCAGAATATGCTGTGAACTTCTACGTCCTTCTGTTTTTGGGTGGTGAAAAAAGAAAGAAGTTCGCCTCTTTTGGCACCATAATGTTACGCGATGGACCATTGTCAACTCGAAGACCCTTTGAAGGGTACGCTAGGGCGGCGGCTTACGCTGCGTGCATTTCATATGGTTGTTCTAAAAAACGAGGACCATATGCTCTGATGAGCATTGATGATAGACTGGGCCTAAATTCCTGAGTGGGTTCGTGCACAGTGCATTGTGAGCTCGATGAGTATGAACACAAAAATTACGAAATGCAATGACTGATATAAATACTTGATACTACGGATACTTTTCAAAAGTAAAGGCGAACATCTAATAAAACGGTTGCCTAACCTGCCCAGGTGGGAAAAATTACATGTATAGACCTTTTTATAGTATGTTCAGGTTGTCTGCCATCTAGTGACTTGAGTTACTCAATTAGCAATAGCGCGGCAATTCAAGAACACTTCCTGTTAGCGAATTCTTCAAATTGATATATTACTGGCTGGCTGTCTAGGCCAGAAGGAAGGCTGGTAGCAAAGAAAAATCCCATTTGACTTGGGATGACTATACGCTATGCCCGGGTTATAATCCTAAGTCATTGAACCTCGTACATCCCATACATAAAGACTCTCATCCCACCCAACACTGGCGCACCAACCCTCGCTACCGAATAGACACCAATCAACGCCAGTCACAAATTCGGTATGTCTACCCATCCGCCCCAGCTCCATGCCGACCATCGGACTCGGCCCAGAACGCATCATATCCATATCACCGGCTGCGCTTGGATCTGACTGATCACTCCATACACGACAAGTCATATCATAACTGGCACTCAGAAGCACATTTGATAGATGCGGCGACCAGGCTACCTTGCGAACAGCATAGTCGTGACCCAGCATTGTAGTGAGTGGGCCTTGCTGCGGGGCCCGGATATCGAATGTCCGAATAGCGCGATCAACGCCCGCCGTGGCTAGGACAGTAGGGCGGTATTTATTCCAGTCGTGAGTGAGCGCCTCTGCGGGCGCACATGGCGCAGGTGGAATGCCGGGCTGGCCGGGGATTGCGGGGGCCGCGGGGGCTGCGTGAATAGGGATTTGAACGGTGAGGTGGTTGGAGGCGGAGGCGGGTGTACGTAGATCAAAGATACGCACGTAGGAGTCGGAGGTTACGCAGGAGATAAGTTCGGGATTATGAGGGCAGAAGGCGGCGGAATAGGTGCAGCTGTGAGTGGGGAGCGTGAGGAGGGACTGTGGGCGATGCGGTGACCAAACGCGGACTGTGCCATCCCAACTGCTGGAGCAGAAGCGATCCTTGGCGACCAGGTTCCAATTAACGCTGAAGACCTCGCGGGCATGTTCCTTCCAGTTTTGAACAGGGTAGTCGTTGGCCGAGGTGTCGAATAACTTGATGCTGCCGTCGCCGGAGGCAGTGAGGACTTGATTCTCATGGATTTCTGACCAAGCCAGATCATAGAGGGAGTCTTGAGTAGTGAACCTATATATCCCGAACAAAATTGTACCGTTAATTCAATATTTCCAGCTGCCAAAGAGAGGGGAGCTTCCTCCGCGGAGAGAGAACGCAATATAACTCAAGCCCACTCACCATTTGACAGGCACGATTCCGTTGGGAGTCAACTCCAAGATATACAATCGACCATTTCCGACCAGGCCAAAATTAGCCGCACTGGCAACAGCTAATCGATTGTCGAAAAAAGGCGAGTATTTGACCGCGCTGCCGTTGTAGCCCTGTGTGCGGAAGTGAAGCATACTGAGCGTCCGACCGGTTGACGCCCGTCGCTCGATATTGAAGGCGTGAGAAGGAGAATCAAATGACGAAAGGAGGTAGGTTAGAAGGTGTCACACGTGAAAATCAATCAGGGTTAGTGTCCAGCGCGGCGCGTCGGAGGATTGAATGACATCGGGATTGCGGGGAGGATCAAATGCGATGGGCCGAGGTCGACTTTCGGTGCGGCCCACACGCTTATCAGCCATTCCCGCGCGAAAAGGACAGCCTCAGCTTGGCCGATCCCGGGGCAGTGAAAGTGAACTAATATAGAACTAAGACTGTTTGTATTCAACTATTAGTATCCCATTGAATTGACCGGAAATTATTTCCAATCATCGACAATACTGGGCGTCTTTCGCTTACCGTGTACCTGTTCAATGTGATGGATGGGAGTTTGAATAGGCATACTAGTATATTCCTAGGATATAAAATAGCATATTAGTAGTACAAAAGAACTTGAATGAGCCCGAGAAGCCTTGGAAGTGATTAACAGCATGCAGCACCTGGGTGAGAGCCCAAGGCATCGTTGTATACAGCTTCTAACTAATCGTTGACGTCAATAACCGATCTATCCCGAATGTCTCATTGACGGGGTATGGCCCATACTAGCTCGATAAACGGAAATGCGTCTGGACTTTCTTCCTTGAAACTTCATTCCATAGGCTCATTAGTAAGTAAGCATAATTCAGAACCATTCCCTAAAATTTTGCCTCTCCGACCGTTCAAAAAATTGGACATGACGTATCCCGCCGTGAAGAACCTATCTCCCCCCGAACTTCCTTCGACCTTCGCAATCTCCTTTTTCTTCGATGAGGAACCCCTTTCAAGAAAAACCCCATAAGAGAACACCCCAACAAAATACGTGGATGGGATTGGACCACTCATCGGACAATTGCGATCATGGCCGACAGAGATACATCTACCTTTACCTCTCCCGCCAACCTTTTCCTCCAACAGGAGGTCTACCGACTGGGAACTTCTCCCGGTTTGCGATATCTTCCTCCCGGTTCTGAGCGTGACTTCATAGTTCTCACTTGGGGACCTATCATTTATCGAACGTCCTACGTTCCGGAAAGCAAACGTCTTCTCCCCGTCTTCCTGCGGCTCCTTAATGATGCCGTCAGTCGGTCAATACATCGAATATTGACCGGCTCTGCCGAGCAAGTCAGTCTTCTCGAAAAGTCGTATGCCTCGAAGGTCTTCAGCGCACAAGATATGTACGACAGTCTGGACGAAGATGGGGTTCGCGATGCATTTCACGATTACAAAGTCTCTCTAGCCATGCCTGTCACGGAATTACCAAGTAGGCTACGCGCATGCTTGATGGTAGATGATGAGGTTTTATCACATATGAGGGCTATTCTGGATATTTCGACCATGGCTGGACAGGACACAGACGTCGGGCGGTGCTGGGTAAAAGTTATCGAAAACAACTTCCCGGATGCAAGATTCGGCGATGAGCCGTATATTGCCAGTATAGACGGGAATAAAAAGGTTGACGGGACTACGGAACACCAAGGAAAATATCATGGCTGGACTATGGTATCATTGTCTGCGTTGTTGGAAGTATTTGATGGACTGCGACAGATGAAGTACCTGGTGGAATATCATCGCGAGGGGCGAATTTACTTAGGGGAAGGAAAATGGAGTGCTATAAAGTAAATTTGAACTTGATTATAACATTAATTTATCATTGCATGCCACAAACTGTTATACAATGCAGATATTTCCGTTTACGCTGGTCGATTTAGGACTTCAAGTAGGAGATGCTTTCTGATTGGTCACTTTGGAAGCAATCATGTGCCGATAAGTTGCTTATCGTGCTGCATAATCCCGAATTGGGAGCGTCCACGGTTGATTTCAAATCCAACCGACCCTCTAGACTTTTCTTGTATTCTCGTCGAATATGGGGGTGGTGCTAAGCATCCATGGATGCATTCATTACGAGAAAGAAACGAAGGGTCTCTGCACCCAGAGAGGATCCCAGCCCAGCAAGACATGAGGCTCTCAATCTCCCATCGAATTCGGATCTCGCAGGCGATGATTCGACAGACGTCAAACTAGCCATTTTGATATCCCTGTTCCCAAAAGTTGGACAAGACGATATCCTCGATATCCTCGTATCATGCGATGGCTCTGTAGAAGCCGCTTCTTCACTGCTCAAGTCACAACCACCCGCGAAACAAACACCAGGAAAAAAGCGAGCGACTCCCAGCTCGTTTCTGGGCATTCAAACATCACTGTCATCCCATGTCATGACTAAATCCAAAGATGGGCTACTCACATCTCTCAGCGAAAGCATGCAGAGTCGGAAGCCTCCAACTATCAAGAAAGGGAAGACGCTACACCTCTATGCCCCTGAGGACATTGCTGCTTACACGCCTTGCACGATCATACACAATTTTCTTCCCCCCGAAGAGGCCAATAACCTACTTGTTGAGCTGCTCGATGAATCCGAGTACTTCTCCAGATACGAGTTCCAACTTTTCAACCGCACCGTCCAGAGTCCACATAGCGCGTGTGTATACGTCTCTACGCCCGAAGAATTCAAACAACAGACAACTGAGTACACTTATGGCGGGACCTATCGAGCAAATGTGCGACAAGCAACGCCGCATCTGCGCTCCGCATCGCGAAAGGTTCAAAGCCTCGTGAACGACGAGATACAAACACGCATCAATAAAGTCTATCCAGAAGGAAAGAAACTCAAATTCCAATCCCCGAAGGAATGGCGACCTAACGCGGCATTTGTAAACTGCTATAATGGACCTACGGAGAGTGTGGGGTATCATTCAGATGACCTGACCTACCTCGGACCACACCCAATAATAGGAAGCTTAAGCCTGGGCGTGGAACGAGAATTCCGAGTCCGTCGGATCATTCCTCAAGATGATGCGGACGAAGAGGATGATAAACAGACCAATCAAGATCGGGTCGATTCATACTCGCGATCCACCAAAGATGAGAGAGCGGCAGCAGCCCGCGCCGATGCTCAGGGGCAGATCTCCATTCATCTTCCCCATAATTCTCTTCTTGTGATGCACGCAGAGATGCAGGAGGAATGGAAGCATGCAATCACTCCTGCTCAGACAGTTTCGCCTCACCCGCTCTCCGGTACTTGTCGAATTAATGTCACCTACCGCTGGTATCGTGATACTCTACATCCGCGTCACACACCACGATGTCGATGCGGTGTACCGGCGATTCTTCGATGTGCACAGCGCAAGCAAGAGAACCGCGGCCGCTATATGTGGATGTGCTATGCCGGATATACACCAGGGAAAGAGGGGTGTTCGTTCTTTCAATGGGCCGAGTTCGACGACGACGGCAATCCGGTGTGGGATCATAAGCAAAGCAAGGATGTGGCACCAGCTTTGTCCAATTTTTCAGCATCGCAGTAGACCATAGCCAATCCAAACTCCATCTTCCCCAGAATTTTCCGGACTTTCCCCATTTTGTATAACAAGTTAGCCAAGTTTGCTAGCTCCCATCGGTCTGCGACAAATTGAGGCCCACAACAGGATCCATTTCTTTTTTGTCCCCACCTTCAGCTTGTCAACCTGCCCCATGGGGGATCCGTAAAACTAGCAAAAGGCAAAAGGTTGAACGGATAATAGAGATCGATTGGTGATCAGAGAGTATCTATTGGCATCAAATAGAGTTGATGCGGGGTTATTCCCCTCTCGCGGAATTTAACCTCTCCATTCCGTCCTCCATCTTTGATACCCCCCAGAAACACCTCGGGTGCAAAATCTCACCTTCTGCAGCGTGGCTCAGCAATATGGAGTCGTTGAATGCACTAAGACGCTATACGAAAGATGACCCGGTGAGATTTTCCCGATGGGCTAATGAACTGTCATGCTGAAGCACCTCACCCTTGGCCGCCCCGCCTCCATGCGTTAGGCGGAATTCCGCGCCGCTTGGCTCGGTGCGTTTAGGGGCGAGTATTTAAGTGAATTGTGATTACGAATAGATTTGTTGAGAAACTTTGAATTTCTTTCTGATCCTTCGTTGAAATTTTCTGTATGAGCTTCAATTTGTTTACCACAACATGGCTTCTCAGAACGACAGCTATGATTACATTGTCTGCGGGTGAGATTGATCAATTCTGGAACCCTCAGTCTGAGATGACTACTGACCAGTGTAATAGGGGTGGCACATCTGGCTGTGTAGTTGCCGGCCGTCTAGCAGAGAACCCAGAGATCAAGGTCCTTCTCATCGAAGCTGGCCAACATAATAAGGACCTGGAGAATGTACACATGACGGGCGGGTAAGCTGTCCCCCACTCGCCGGATTAGCTCTCAGTTAATGATAAGATAGATGGTCAAATAACTTCGACTCAGAGACCGATTGGAACGTTGTCACTCCTCCGATGGCTGGTGTGGCCAATCGCCAGGTGAAATTGAGTCGTGGACGTTTCTTGGGTGGCTGCAGCGGCTGTAATGGTACACTTTGTATCCGTGGAAACAAGCAGGACTACGATGATTGGGAACTCGATGGATGGAGCGGTGAGGATTTCTTCAAGTACATGAGAAAGGTGATATTCGACCTATGCGGAAGTTATAGGGGCCAGTTTCTCACAAACGATTATAGGCGGAAACATTCCACCCTAAGCCTTGGTTTCAAGCCGACAAGACCAGCCATGGCTACTCCGGACCATTGCATACCGAGCCTCACGATCTAGCGCCAATTTCGAATCTTTTGATAGATTCGTTTGTGTCGGAGGGCATGCCACTCAACCATGATATGTTTAGTTCTGGAGACGTCGCGCAGGGCTGTGGCCATGCTCCTCGCACTGTTTACGAAGGCATTCGGACCACAGGTGCCGATTTTGTGACCAACAAGAACCACCGAAGCAATATTACGATCCAGGCAGATACCACAGTGGACAAGGTCATCTTTAACAAGCAAGGAGGCCAACCCCGTGCGACCGGTGTTGTGACCAAAGGAACCGATGGCAGCTTCAAGACTTTTTTTGCCCGGAAAGAAATCATCATCTCTGGTGGGGCGTACTGCAGCCCTGCCGTCCTACTTCGGTCTGGAATTGGGTCCAGAAAGGAGCTGGAGAAGCACCAAATCGAATGCATAGTAGATTCTCCAGGCGTTGGCAAAAACCTTATGGATCATCTGGTTAGCCGCAATCCCGAGTCCGTCTCGCTGAAATCACCGACTGATAATTATAGATTGTTTTTATGTTCTACGAAACCGAGAAAGCAGGACTAACAAACGACTATCACGTCTACCACGGCGACAACTTCGACAAGACCTACGCAGAATACAAGGAAAAGAAAACTGGTTTCCTCTCCACATTCCCCTTTGGCGCCTTTGCCTTTGCCAGAATCGACGATCGACTCAAGGATGAGCCATTATGGAAGAATGCCCCTCGTCTACCAGGCCGTGATCCCATGGGTCTCACACCCTCTCAACCCAACATCGAATTTTTCACGACAGAGTGCTATGGTGGACCGAAGCAATATGACCAGTTCCCGATCGATCAGAAGCACGCTTTCTCGATGATTGCGGAATTGTTCGCACCCAAGTCTCGTGGCTCGGTGACTTTGAACTCGACTAACCCCATGGAGAACCCTATTGTTGATTGCAATTATTTGGCTGATCCGATGGACCTACTGGTTCTAAGTGAGGCTTGCCGATTTGGAAATGAAGTCGTTATGAAGGGGGCTGGAACAAAGGATATCGTTAAGGGTTCCTGGCCGCCTAATTTGAACCATCATACCTACAAGACAAGAGAGGAGTGGGTGCCCTATGTCAAGGAACATGCTACCACTTGTGAGTCTACAGAATCCACAATTCGATTCGATCTTACCACTGATGACTGTTTTAGGCTACCATGCGGCGGGTACCTGTGCTATGGGTAAGAACGATAACCCCATGGCTGTTCTGGATGAGAAGATGCAGGTTCGCGGCGTCTCTGGTCTGCGAGTTGCTGATTGCAGTGTCATGCCTACTTTGCATGGAGGACACACCCAAATGCCGGCGTACGGTATTGGAGAGAAGTGTGCTGATCTCATAAAAGAGACATGGCGAATGACCAGAAATGTTTATAGTCGAATTTGAGGATGGCAAATTGCCACTTGACGTTACTAGTAGTATGTCAGCATTACTACTTGTAGTAGTAGTGTAGATAGCCACCCGGGAAGTATTGAAGACATAGACATTATTTCATGGTATCTTACTATCCTACCCACTTATATACTCAGTACCCTGTATTGTCAGGACTAAGCAATTTGGATAGGTCGAATCGCTTCACCGAGGAGGCAGAGGTTGATAGGGAATACTAGGATTAATTTTGGATGCAGGGGGGGCAGAAAACGCTTTTGATTTTGGTTTTGAACTAGTATACATAATACCATGAAGGTTGTAGCTATTGGGGTAGTGGAAACAGCATAATAATAAATACGACAAAGCAGCGAGTTACGATGAAATATCTGGGCCATCTATGCCAAGCTGAATGTAAACTTTTCGCCAGGCTGAACAAAGGTTGTGCTCGGTTTCTTCAAGTCTGTCTTGACATGACTTGCACGTCGGCTGCGTAGACTGGTGACATAGGTTTCGTGATTAACAGTGCAGTTTGTTGGAAGAAGTGAATGCTCATATTCAATCTGAACAGTAAGGATTTGTTCTGGTAGATCCCTGACCCAGCCCATCAAGAATTTGTTGATTCCAACAATTGTCTCCATAGCGAGTTGGGGTAGTTTTTGGAATTCCTCTCTATCTGTTTCCTGAAACGCGACGGGGATTATGACATCTATTGGAAGACTCCATACTTCTCCAGGGCGAAGTGATGTGATGTGATAGAATTTGGCGACCGGCTCTATTTGACACCCCGGCCCTGGGGTCAAAACGATTTTGATACGATCAAGGGACCCGGGACGTATACCAAGACGAATGTGCCGAAGGACTTTGGCAACTCTCTGGGCGAAATGAGTCCCTTTTGCTCTCAATTTCTTCAGGATCATAAAACATATGCCACCCAGGTTGGCGATTCATGTGATTGATAGGACAATAGCCCTGGGGCGTGATTGTGTGGAAACCAATGGCTTTATCAATCCAAGGCACCTGGTAGTTGGAGGCGCGATTTGCGGGCGAAGCCGAAGAAAGAAAAAATAAGTGGCAGTAAGCAATTCTTGGCGAGACGCTGAAAACCCTGGAAGATTCACGAATGGCGACTTCAAGGTTACGCCTTTTCGGGTTGCCAGCCTGTGATCGATGGGAAAAGATGTTGAGAGCGGCCTGAATATTGTCCACGGAATGAAAACCCAATGGAAGCAATAATTGGAAATTATTCGTGAAGGCTTCATTCACATATCCAAGAGCAATGCGATCCTGACCTTGAATAGTATGCGAAGCCAAAATCATTGATCCTAGGATAAACTGTGTGAGGGAGTGGCCAGGTGCGGTGGGTCTAGGAATATGATAAGTATAGTGTCAAGCCTAACAGAGAGACACGTCAACATACAAGCTATCAAGGAGAATAACGATATCGAGGGGCGCAAGGCTCGGCGGTTCTGGTAGTGGAACAAAACTGACATCGGCAGAGACAGTGATCGTGGTCGTCACACTTTCTTTGCCAAACCCGATTTGCGGTGGACTGGTGGTTGACTGTACATCAACAAAAGCGATTGGCAATTCCATCGGACAGAGAAATTGTGAGTTTTCCCAGCATTTCGATCCATTTGAAAGACTTCCCAGGTTCGATGAGGGCTTTGTTCCAATGGAGGAGCCTGACAATGGCAGACCTGGCAGAGAATCGCTGTAAGATCCAGAGCTCCAGCGAATCTGCAAACCATGGGGAGAATTTCGACGTCGGGCGTGCTGATCTCGCTTTTGTGATTTGGTAGGGGTCTCTGGGATCTACAGACTATGTCAGTGAGAAATCAGAGATTTCGGGTTTCAAGTAACAAACAACCATTGAGTCGGAGAACGGGTCCTCTAATGATTTCCAAAGGAAATCTCCCGTGCCTTGAGAATATTGTTGATCGTTTGTTCTTCTTTTTGTGACTTCAATCTGATATGAACTGCTGCTGTAAGACGGGGTTCTTGTTGACGTGGGCGGGCCGTCAGTGCTGTTTCCTGCACTATATAGGGATGAAGACCGCCGCGGGATACGAGGATAGGATGTCGACGAGATATTACTTCGAGTGCGTGTGAGTCTGAATTTCTTGGCAGTGCCGGGCCTTGGGGTATCGTCGTCCATCGCTGATTGATCCGCTCTAAACATGCTCTCTGGTGTGAACGGGAGATGCGTAATTCAGGGGTACCTCAGATGTTTCGGTGCCTTGACCGGTACCACTCTCGAGATCAGAATGAAGGCGCTTCTTGCGACGGTAGCGAGTTCGGCAAGAGAGCCACGAGAGCCAGGGGGGTGTGCTGAACCGGCAGCTGCAGTTCTCAGAGCAGGCCAGGGCCAAAGCGACCGCACAGAATAGAATGACAATAGGAACCAATACCAGGGCGATAAGTAATGCGGAGCTCTTGAAATCAAGAGATATAATATTGGACATCTTGAGGGAAGAAGATGTATGTGCGGAGGAAGTGGCTTTTGGGAAATGGAAGGCGACTTAGGCCGGCGCAGTGGTGGCAGTGACCATGACCATATGGAAATGGGAAGGAACGAGGAACTGTTCAACTAGTAGCATTGGCTGGGTATATTTGGAAGGCAAGCATCTTCTCTTTCTCTTCATTCTTTATGTACGTGCGCCACTGCAGCCATCATCTCCTTCACCGAACCCAAAGTCGCCTCGTCCAATCGCGAGAATCTTATCTGTCAAGAGCGTTAATTTCCGTGTCAGAAATTGTAATATCAGGGTGGCCCTTACCATCTCATCGCCTGCTCGAGAGGCGTTCCCAAACAGCATCGGATCGGAATTACTAGTCTCGATCTCAGTCTCTACTCGGCGAGCCCAGATCCCATCCCAATGCCAGTCACCAGGGAGCCGAGCCTGCGGGCTTCCCCGTTTCAAATCACCAGGAGTATGTCCACCCCGACGATGAGCTTTCCATGCGTGCCATGCGCCCGGATTCCCCGCTGCCTCGACAGGTAATGAGTCTAGCACTTCCTCGTCGTCAAATGTCGATCGGATATACTCAAGCAGTTCGTAAACAGGAACAATCGTCCTGGGTTGAACGAATTGATCCAAATTAGGCACCTGTGCAACCCGGGTGGGTTCTTCTTGAGCCTCGGTATTGTCTTCGTTGCTGATCGGCTGATCTGAGACATCGTCTAAAGTATGTGGCGTGCCCGATGGTTGTTCGGTCTCCAATTCCAATTCAGTTGCGCTCTGTTTTGCCTCGGTAGGAGAAACCACCTTCGCACTATTCCCGCTCACATTGCGCGACGAAACCCCAGATGCAATGTCATTTCGTGTCGCTCTACCGAACCAGTGTGGGAAACCATGACGAAGACTGAAGCCACCTGGAGGTAGACGTTCCTCATCGGTCGCACTAACGGGGTTATCACTTGCTGAGCTAGTACTGAAGGTATATGTTGTGAGGGGAACGATCAATGGGTGAAACACGTCGGTCGCGAAGGTGACCAGCGGCGGTAGATCGGGGTAGACGTTCGGGGAAGCGGATTTGTAGGCGGAGAACTGCGGAGGCATAAGGGCCTGGAAAAAAAAAAATTGCGCATCTTAGTAAGGACCAAGCTTTCTTAGAGGAATTAAAGCTCACCGGAGCGTACGAAGATGACACCATTCCAGAGCGTGGGGTCTCCAGGCGCGAGGCTCACATAAACCCCTGGCGGTGCGGCATGCCGCAGGCTGGCACTGTGGAGAGTTAGAGTGGGACTTGAGGAATGAGCCGGCGAGTCTCACAATTCCAAATGTAACTGCTGCCTCCGAACCGAGGGGGATGCAGGGTAGTGCTGTAGTTGACATTGTTTGAGGTGGTGCGGAGGAGTGTGATGAGTTGGAGATCAAAACATCTCGGGGCTATCTACCTTAAGTTAGTACCTTACTATATGGGACCGCTTATCACCTTATCACTACAGTGGGCCACCGAGGCACCATAGAGAAAGTATGCAAGTATAGCAAAGAAGTATAGAAGTATAGAAGTATAGAAGTATAGAAGTATAGCTGAATTAAGGTCGTTATTCGTAATTGGGCTAATCTAATACCCGTGGTCTACTTAAAGTGCCAATCTATCCAGTTCTAGTCCTTGTTTCAACAATCCCAAATGAATCATACCTTCGCCCACGCCTTCATAGACACCACCAGCAATTCCTTCAACCCACCACGCTGCCAGGTTCCCAACTGCAGCCCCGACGCGCCCTTCATTGAATTTGCAGACCGCCGAGCCAATGCTCACGCCGCTTTTCCCAAGGCCATCCGCGGCATCTAGCGTAGTCGTCACGATACGCTCGGTGATGCGATGAGATCGTTCGTACTCGTAGACCTGGCGGAGGAATACTTTGAAATAAGGGAGAATGAATCGCACTAGCAGAAATATCTGCACAATAGTTGATGCAAGAAGTCTGTGTAGATATGACCTGGAGGGTGATGGCTGTCTGCTCTGCGTGGGGCTTTCTACTCGAGCCAGATGTGATGATGGGCTGGTTGCTATCGATGCTTTCATGGGCTCTGGTAGACGATGTTGTAGCATAGTTGACTCTTCGGCACTCAGATCTGCCGGGAGGGCATCTAGCAGATACATCAATGCATTTATGTAAAGAGACCGAGCCAGTCGGCCATCAGCTCTTGGTTGCTGTGCCTCATATCCTGCATTTCGGAGAAGATTGAACGCTTGGAGAGAAATAGCATGAGTCAAATGCATTCAGCTGGAGTCCAGTCAAGGCTCGATCTCACCTGGCACAACACGGTTCCACCGCAAGCCCGACTCGGTTTCGTACTTTGCGGGGGGGTCCATCTCTTCTGTCTGAGGGCTGTTCGAGCCAGATGATCCAGACCCAGAGTTTAATGAATCCAAGTCATCGCTTGCTGTTCCGGACCGTTGTATTTCTGTGTCGAGATTGCCGGAAAGCTGGCTACCGTAAGGGAGATATGGCTCCGAAGATGAGGCCAGCGCATGACGCAGGGCCTCGCTCGTTATCTCTTCGGTATCAGATCCAGCCCTATGAGACGGGTACAACCGCAGCAGCCGGCGTCGGATTGATGCTGGAATGGGGAGTAAGGGAAGTCTGGAGTACTCCATTTCGAGGCTCTGACACTGGCAACTGCGAGCGATGGGCGGACTGAATCACCCCGAAGCTTTGTCGGAAAGTGTAGGAATCTGGAAATTCCAGCGATGAGGTGATCTGACAGATAACGGCCCTGCGGCAATTTTTCTTGCATGCGCATTGCAGTTTCACATGCTAGCGTTGGCGACTCTGATATGCCGATAAGAGTGGGGGCAAACATCCCATGGGAGGATCCTAAGGTAGGATGGCGTCTAAATCGTAGCGGGGTTAGGGTTGCCAGTTGAGACTAATCATTTGGAGACCAGGTCAACATGGCTGGTCGATCAGAACCTAGTCTCATAGCTCTAAATCGAGCCAAGGACTTCTGCAGTGGCCAGATCAAGCCACCGGCTTCAACCACCGTGGGCATATGGATAGCATCAATGCTGGTCAGATGGGGTCCCAAAGAAATAACACCCTATTGTAAATGGCAAAACACCTCACCGTCATTCCTGAAATATACTCTAGATGTCCAAATATTTAATAATGGGATTATTATTTCATTCTCTGAACCCTAAAAATCTTCGAATTAAATTATATGCGAGGTAGCAATGTTTTGGAGCGGTTTCCTCACTTTTCAACATAGTCAAGGATGAGCCATATAGAAGATTAGTGTTTCTTACTTACGACAGGATGAATAATTCACAACCAGGATGAGATTAATAGGATTGCTTTTCTAGTAATTCATCACTAATGTTTTGCTAAAACAGAAATTTTCAAGGCCCAGAAAGAGAATTGTTTCGCGCAGAAAACGGTCTTGCACGCCCCTCCCACTAGCTTATGATGGCGATACATGAGGGTACGATCTTTCTTTTTCACTAATTGCTCAATCTTACCTTGGCAATTTCGCATCCAGTGCGAAAATTGATGTATTTTTTTTGTTGAGTATTACAAAGGACTCAAAGTCTGCATGTTTCAAATTTGTTTGCATGGCCAAAAATTGATTAATTAATCATGTTGCATGTTCTTACTCCCACCATGTCATTCTAGTGTGTTCTACAGAGCAAATGTATTAGAAATTATTTTGTTTTCCTAGGTCCATCACTGCATATCATAATTGCCCCATATTGGGCAGATTCGCAAGCCGTTTGAATAGATTGGGTCGTAGAATAGGCCAGCCAAAGCCTTATTCAAGCCTCAACGGGCTCAATGGGGCTACAAACCAACAAAATGGGTTAAAGAATTTATCCCAGCATTCAGTCCTGTTCAGTTGAATAGGCTATTGTTAGGCTACTGCCCAGAAGGACTGTTTGAGCGGCTCCAAACATGTACCATGGTAGTGATCACGACCCACAGGTAGATTTGGTGAGACAAAGTGCAGACATCCTTTAGCCCCAACAACCCAACAAATTCAACCACAAGCATGGAATCATAACACGTCACTTGCACATGAGACCGAGGATCCAAAAGTTCGATCAAAGTAATAAAATAGTTTTATTCAAAGGATTGGATATAATCTAGTTATTTTCCAGTTTCGTAGTATATTGCGCATCGCTTGCCCTCCCCCATTCTATTTGCCACAGCCTTTTCTACCATACTTTTTATCCTGGGATCTTCTCTAAAATGGTAGAAAACGAATCTAACTCTGAGAAGGGACATATTACAGAGCAGCCAATTACCCTTCACAATTGGTATCATCATGTCAACTGGCTTAGCACGACGCTCATCCTAATTGTCCCCATCTTTGGGTGCATCGCCATACCTTTTACCCCATTGAAGCTACCCACGGCTATCTGGGCTATCATTTACTATTTCTGGACAGGGTTGGGTATTACTGCTGGATATCATAGACTCTGGTCTCATCGATCATATGAAGCGTAAGATTATTGGTCCCGCTTGTGTCTTCCCTGCATGTTCCATTATCGAACTAATTAATTTATCCAACCTAGTGGTCTACCCCTCCGTGTCTTCCTCGCCTGTGCTGGTGGCGGCTCCGTGCAAGGCTCTATTCGATTTTGGAGTGCCAAGCACCGAGCTCACCATCGATGGACGGATACTGTCAAAGATCCATATAGCGTTCGGAAAGGATTGATCTATTCCCATCTCATGTGGATGGTTCTGAAACAGAACCCGAAAGAGAAGGGCCGAACAGATATCTCTGATTTGAACCATGATCCAGTTGTTGTATGGCAGCACAAGAACTATGTCTCTTTTATTTTGGTATTCGGGATCCTATTCCCAATGCTCGTTGCCGGTTTTGGATGGGGTGATTGGAAGGGCGGCCTGTTGTATTCGGGCGTTCTGAGATTTTTCTTCGTTCAACAGGCAACATTCTGTGTTAATTCTTTGGCGCATTGGCTGGGGGATCAGGTCAGTGGTGACCGAAACCAACTTCTTTTACGCGCTAACACCTCTTAGCCCTTTGATGACAGAAACTCGCCCCGTGACCATGTTATTACTGCCCTTGTCACCTTGGGTGAGGGTTATCATAACTTCCACCATGAGGTAGATATATTCTAATCCTCAATTTTCTACTAAAGAGCGAAATCTAAGGCTAACATCTTTGCAGTTCCCCTCTGACTATCGCAACGCCATCCAGTGGTGGCAGTATGATCCAACTAAGTGGTCGATCTGGGTGTGGAAACAACTAGGCCTAGCCTCCAACCTAAAACAGTTCCGGGCCAACGAAATCGAGAAAGGACGTGTGCAGCAGCTACAAAAGAAGGTCGACCAAAAGCGAGCTCGCCTAGATTGGGGCACTCCTCTAGAGGAGCTTCCAGTCATCTCTTGGGACGATTTCGTCTCTGACGCTCAATCTGGAAAAGCGCTCATCGCTATTGCGGGCGTGATCCATGATGTGACTAGATTTATTAAGGATCACCCTGGTGGCAGGACTTTGATCAGCTCTGGAATAGGCAAGGATGCCACAGCTCTATTTAATGGAGGTGTTTATAACCACTCCAATGCCGCGCATAATCTTCTTTCCAGCATGCGTGTCGGCGTGATTCGAGGCGGAGGCGAGGTCGAAATCTGGAGGGGGAGAGGAATGAAGAGGCAAGATGTTACTGATGTTTGATGACGATGATAGTGGATGATGTAATAATTTAGATTAAACAAATAGAAGAATCATACCTAATAAAGGGTAAGCCAGCCCGACCGAATCCCGGGAATCCCATAGTAGAAAATCCAAGATGTGAGAACTCAACAGGAGACCCCGGTCAAAAAGTCGGTCTCCGTGGTAGATTTTGAGGATCGATTTCTAATTATTCTCTAGTTTTTACATTAGAGCCGTCTCGATGTGCTGCTGGTCCACCGCCATTTTTAGCTTATGCAATGATTGATTCGATGACCTGCGTTTCCATATGCCGAATTATTCCTGGAGAATAAATTCAATGCTACAATATTCGATGAATGATTTTCTAAAGCTCAAAATCTGCTATAATGGTTGGTGACTCTTCGCAAATCCCGCCTAACAGCCATGTGTTACTTCAGGCCATCCAGCCCCGCAGTCCAGGTTCTGAGAACCGAGAAATTGTAAGACATCCACTTTGAATACGAGAACTCAGCCGCAGGTGCTCGAGTAAGAGGTCTTGCGTCTCAGCGGGAATCCCCAGATTTTCTCGTGTTCGGCTGCCTCGGATAGGTCCTAACCCAGATCATGTGGTTCTCTTAGTGATTGTTTAGTGCCGTGCATAATTCTTCTCGTTTCTACTCTATTTCTATTCGTTCGCAAAAGATGTCTCATTAATTTGATTGGTTTTGTTCGAGTAGCTTATTATTTTTTAATCGACTCCTCCTGCGCTCGTCCACCTGGACAGTATACGATGATTGCCACCCAAGTTTCCTTTAGGCATCGTTATATACATGCATAATATAGACTCAACTTCAAGTCCCAGGAAGAGGCGCAGTGATTTATTATTCAAGGAAAGCTGTTGCTCTGACGATTGGGTGCATCTCAGCCGTATTACAATGCATGGTGGCTTTGAATCTTGAGGATATTTATTGAGACACGACATGACGCCACCATGCAATGTAAGAGGGCCGAAATGGTTCACTGAGATTCTGGGAGGGCTTAGCAAGCTCAGTAATTTTAGATCTAACTTTCAATGTCTCGCCTACTAGGATCTCTCCTACTGGGTTTAATATTGGATAATATAGTATTACATCATCAGGTCTCGCTCCGTATTACTCGCTCGTGAGCTCCATTTCAGTTGATATAAACCGTTACTTGACTAAAAGACTGGGTATGGTCAGCATAAAAAATTACTCTTTTTGGATGGGGAGATCTGATCAAAAGACCCACCTCTTCGCATAATGCGCGAGGCCACCAGAGAACATGACGAGGCGCTTTCCAAGGCACGAACAGCGTCGATGCTCTTCTAAGACACCTTCCTTAGAAAGGCATCATGAGATCAAGCCGACAGGGCCTAAAATTAGGGAAGAAGGGGGTCTAGATTCATGGCAGGGTGATATCACGAAGAATAGAATACGAGAAAGTTTCTAAATCTCTTCTAATACATTTAATCTTGGTAGATATAAAAGATCTCTTCTTCCTCCCCCAGGTCCTTGAAAATCATACTTCAACACACACATTTCCAACAATACAAAACATCCTCAATCCACTTTAAAAAACAAACTTTACGAAGTCTTCCTTTAAATCAAAATGAAGTCCGCAATTGCCGCCTCTCTTCTGCTCGCCGCAACTGCCATTGCAGCCCCTCTCGAGGCACGCGCAGCTGCAACCGTCGGTTTTGCTCTCTCGAATGATCAGAGTGGTTCATATGCCGGCGTTACTTTCCCGGCCGATGGCACCGACAAGACCATTTCATCCCTCTTCGGCTCCACCTCTGTTGGGTCTTCCGGCCACGTCCTCGCCTCATCCGCCCAGCTGACTCAGTTCCCGGGCACGATCAACTGTGTCCTGAAGAACAATGGCGCAGCCCTTGCTACTTTCACTGCCCAAAAGACCTACGCTGATCTTGACGGCAACCCGGCTAAGGTTATTCCTGTCAACCTTGACCACGCTACCATCAACTGCCATGCTTGAATGACCAACTGAACTATTTAATAGAGCCTTGGAAGGCTTCCGGGGTCTTTGGGGATTTCGAATTTAATCTAGTCTATCCTTAATTATTACTTATCAAGATATATATTCTGTTATTACTGAGAATTGAATGATTTTATAAAGATCCATCCAAGTTGTTATTCCTGGGTATACCCATTATTACTAATTGTAACTGATATGCAGGATTAATTACGGGAAGCGCTCTGACCTGAGCACCTCCCAGGATTGGCACTAACCAAGGACAATGAATAAATTTCCAAAGCTACATCGGGCTGTATTACTAGTACACACGATAACTAGTACTGTTGGACGATTGAAACTTGGAAGTGGGTCACATAATCCAACCTTGAACTCGAAGTGATCGAGTCTAGCTTCGAGGAGAACCTTCAGAAGCCCTGGAGGTTGGAAGGATTTTCCCCAAAGCTTTTGATACCCGGGTTAGGTATTACTAGTAGTAGTATACTAGTTTGGTCACCATTGGCACCCGGGCACTGGCGTCCATAATGCTTCCAGCTTAGCAGTTAGTTAGTTACCTAGGTAACCTCGGAATGGATTTGAAGTTGAGCGCGATACTAGCAGGTGCTACTAGTAGTAGGTAATTGTGGTACTTTTCTATGTCTTCAAAAGTCCTGCGGCTACGGTTGGATCCACGAGGCAAATTTATATTTCCAAGGCTGTTCAGCCCCTCAAGTTTTAATTGCTTTTGTTGAAGTATCTCATGTCCCGAGGTTGTACTAGAATAGATCATACTACTTCCTGCAAAAAAAAGCGTACTCTAATTATAGTATAGTTTAGTACTAGTGGTTCCTTCCTCTACCTCGCCTCGAGAACTGAAGGACCCACTCACTCCACACGAACCAAGCGAAGCAAAAATCAATTCTTCAAAAGATAATTGAGCAAAAAGCAACTCCGATAGGGGGAATCGAACCCCCGGCTGCCGTGTGAGAGACGGCGATGTTAGCCACTACACCATATCGGACGGGTACGGTGGAGCGTAGTTCGGTTTAGTGTACAACACTTCTGGTTTAGCGTCGTTGGTCCCTTTGCGCTCCTGTGCGTGGTAGTATATAACCCGCGACCTCCCCCCCTCCCATCCAGCACTTCCACAATTTTGTTTTTCGCCCCTCTGCCCCGGTCCTTGCAGCTGAGGCATTTTTGCTATTGATCCGGGTCCCCGAGCTCTGGGGCTTCGCCACCCCCTTTTCTCTAGCCTTCGTCATGGCCGGCTTTTCGGCGCTTCTCGTGACTTGAAACCACGACACTCTCGGATGGACTTTCTCTCTTGGCGTCGACACGCAAGATGAGCTGGACTGTTGTGACATTGACTCTCAGGCTTACGGCCAGAAATCTTGGCCGGCCGGCCGGGAATTGACCATTGCAGATGCCGATGCCTTTGATCTGCGGTCTTTGAAGCTTACTGCTTGCGACAAATCCCCAAACTACTAGAATCAATTAGGATATCTCGCTCATGAACTATGTTAAGCCTGCTTGCTCACTTCCCGCGCCCGGAAACCGATTCGATATCGATTATCTTGTTGGCTACGACTGCGACCGTTTTTGAGAGTCGTTTCAACTCGGCTTACTTGAGAGCTAAGCGATGGAATCGAACGTTGACCAAACATCCATCCTCCTTCACCACCAGCCGTTTTTCGCGCACTTGATTCTCAGACTACTCGATTCCACGTCTACTCGCTTCTGAGACCTGTCGTGTCCTGATCCTCGTTATCACACATACCCTGGGGCCAGAGCCTCTGGTGGATGCATAATTGATTGGCAAAGAGGATAAGATGGGTTTGCATTCGTCGCTTTAAGACCTGATAATGTCTGGGTATGGGTCGTATTTTTGGGATTGATTGGCAGATACCGGGCGATGGATTTGTGTCACAGCATATGACGTCTAATTCGGGGAGCTAGATTTCTGCCTCGCTCTTCTGGGCGGCTGAATGATTGGCAGTCAACAATCCTTGAGTTCCTCGACTATATGTCGAGGAACACTACTATGCAGTCAGCTGTCTGAAATTTTGGAGAAAGCAGGCTAGGACACAGAGACTGGCGATATGAGTGGCCCTAGTCATACAGGCCTTGAGTGAGCCCTGGAACCATTGATAGAGATGTTCGGTCTGCGACGGAAGTGTGTTACAGTATATATGAAATTGGGACCTGGGCTCTGTCTAACTTACACCCTAAGTGTGACACTTAAAGTGAAGATCTTTGGGAGTTGATTGCTTAGCTCTGATTCACCCAGTTAGTTAAGTTTTTTAATGCGTTTCCAGGGGTATTACATAGTAATTCTTTGTCCGAGTAAAAGGTGAAAAGCCACGATTGCTTCTTTGACGATGGCAGCCGAATTTCCCAACGATGGCTCGGTTTGAGGAACCAGTGTACTTCCTCAACCTCCTGAGGCGTGAGGGAATAATTGGAACTACATAGTATTCCTTGACCTCATCCTGCAATTTTCAAGTTATCTAAAATGGCCGAAAATAATATCTATGGATAGTGTTGTTTATTGGTGCCTATTATCTAATTACCAGGAATTGTTTACGCCATCAATTTTGGAAAGGCCCTCAGATCGGCACCAGTTTGGTTCATTTTTGCCCTGTCGCGTTACCCCGCCATGTCAACATATGGATTTATGATGCGTAGCGCTAGGCCATTAAATCTCTCTGCCTGCAGAATCGGCTTGGCGTTACCCAGGGGGGTATCGGGCATGGCCACATCAGTTCCAGCTAACATGGCGCCAATGCTACAATATGTCGCTGAGTCTGAAAGTGCGGAGTTTCGCCCCCGTTTGAAGACACTAGTTAGGCATAACATCCGGGCATTCTTATTGCTTTTAGGTCTTCATACAAAGCCCGAAAAAGGAGAAGTAAATCAAACCATATCGTAGTAAGGATTTGTCGTGATTAAGTAGAGGACTATGTACTCAGTGGGTGTCGCTTAATGCAAATTCGTCGTCATCCCACAGTCATCTAAGTTTACACCTTTCTACAGGTATCCCCTGTACGAGCAGC